GCATGGATGCATTCGGTGGGCAACTCCATAGCGTGTGCACCTAATCCTCCAAAAAGACAATGATGTCCCTCCCAGGGTGCTCGCTGTCTCGGTCGACTACAATCTCGTTCTCCACGCGCAAGTAAGCAACCGCAGCGCGAGGGGAGGGGGAGGAGTCTGGGTGCACTTGCCTAAGGTTCTTGCCCTCAAATTGCAAAAGATATGCAGTCATTCCCCGAGGCAGGAGGAGTGGAGGAGGAGATGCAGAAGGAGTAGGGAGGGGAGAGGGAAGGGGTGGGGGGAGGAGTCTGGGGGGTACTTGAGGGGAGGGAGGAGGGGTCTGGGTGGTGCACTTGCCTAAGGTTCTTGCCCTCATAAATTGCAAAAGATATGCAGTCATGCCCCGAATACACATAATGCAACATATAATGCAACGAAATGCAATCACGCGCAAATGCAACGAATGCAATAATGCAACGAAATGCAATCACGCGCAAATGCAACGAATGCAAAAATTGCATAATGCAACGAGATGCAATCACGCGCAAAATGCAGAAAATGCAAATATTGCATAATGCAACGAGATGCAAACACGCGCAAAATGCAGAAAATGCAAATGCAACGAAATGCAATCAGCGAACGCAGTTGTAATGCAGTTGTAATGCAGGTGAATGCATGCGAATGCAAAAAATGCAAAAAACGCAATGCATGGGCAAAAACCACACGCATTTTTGGGCAAGAACCACACTTATGCCGAGTGTGGGGGGACTACATGATCCGTACGTGAAGGGTGGAGGGGCCCGTCCGTCCGCAGAGCTAGGCGGCGCGGGCCCCTCCACACTGGGGCCGAGGAGAAGAGGCCGTTTGCCGCTTGCTTGTTCTTGATCCAGTTGGTGCGCACAGTGCGCGCCTGCTTGTTGATGTTTTCGGCCTCGCCCGCCACCGCCGCCATGCGTGTGGGGTGGGTGGGGTGGACGACGAGGGAGGAGGCGCTCGCCGAGGAGAAAAGAGATCTGCGACAGGTGTATTTTATTTTTGCTTGGGGCGGCCAGCATGCTGAAATTCTGGAAAAACCTGACCGGCCCCTGCGGTGCCCCTACCTACCTACCTACCTACCTACCCTACTTATGGGAAACTAAAAAAGAAATCACCGGCCTGGTGAAGGTGGGGTACTATACCAACTACAGTGATGGCTGGCGGTACTCTCCTGCAATCACAGTCCTTCCTGTGACATGGCAGGCCACTATCAAGCCCTACAAGCACCAGATCACCCACTTGGGGAGGGTTGACGTCGTGATTTTCGCCTGCATCTTGCGTGGCGTGCCAAGCACTCCGCTGCGCGTGGAGGGCTTTCAGACCGAGGCGTCTCCACAGACAGACTACCTCGTCGTCGACTATGGTAAATTCTTTTATGGAACCAGCGGGCCCGTGGGCGTCATCCCTCGAGAAGGCGTCCTCGGTGGCGCAGCGATAATGCCAACACTGCACAGGGTTTCAGGGTCTGCTTTGCAATGTCTCAGCCTCCGCCGCTGTCCCCACCGCCTCCGCCTCTGCCCTCGCCGCCGCCGCCGCCGCCGCCGCCGCCGCCGCCGCAGTCGCCGCTATCGCCGCCGCCGCCGCCTCCTCGCTCACTGCCGCCGCCGCCACCTCCATTGTCGCCTCCGCCGAGCCCTCCCCGGCCTCCTCTATCGCCCTCGCCGTTGCCGCTGCCGCCGCCGCTGCTGCCGCCGCCGCCGCTGACCCCCGTCCTGAACCCGACGTGGCCTCGCCGGCCGCTGCCTCCACTGGTTCGTCCGCCGGCTCCGCCTTCGCCCCCGCCCCTCAACGCAACGAGACGAGCGCCATCAGTGGTCGACGGCGCAGACTACAAGCAGATCGCGCTTCACCTTGCTGTCGCCTGCGCCGTCCTGCTCATCCTCCTCGTCGCCACCTGCTTACGCCTTGGTGTGCGCCTGCGCGTCGTCACGTCCAAGACGCGAGCCGTGCCCGGTCGTGAGGTCTCCACCGTGCTGGCCGCCGGGCTCGCTATCAGCGGGCAGGACCCGTTCCCCGGGGGCGGCAGCCGTCCCGAGAGTCCGAGCCGTGGTCGCGTGCCCCACCCCCCGCCCCCCTCGGGACCCGACCTCGAGGCTATGGAAGAGGCCACTATATGTCCGGTGGTCGAGGCCACTCTATGTCCCGAGGCGAAGTCGCCAAGCCCCGACTGGCTCTACGACCCGGACCTTCCCGCCGGCCCGGGAGCACACGATGACGCGCGGCCCGAGTGCCTTGCAGCAAGGCGCGGTCCAAATCGGAGGAGCGCAGCGCTTGCACGCTCTCGACTCTGCCCAATCTGTGGAATCTCGCACGAGGCCCCACTGCCGACGGCCCGTATGCGAGCGGCGCAGCTCCGGGTATAGATAGTGCGCGCGCAGCGATCCCCGCGGGCGGGCGCGACGTGAGCTAACCCGGGCCGTCCGCGACGTGACCAACCATGTCAGAGCCCAAGGCACATAATTAGCCACATACAGGCCACATAGAGCCGTATTAGTGTGTGTGCGCGGTGTACACACTGTGGTGACCCGTGGGGCGCACGTTGGAAGGCGTTGCTCGCGATTGCTTGAGAGTGTTGTTTCTATTTTCCCCATGTGTGATTTGTCAGCCCGGCGGAACTCCCGCGCCGTCTCCGCAACCTCAGTCGTCAATGGAGGTCAAGCCCAAGGCGGCGGGACGGGACGGATTCCCACGACACAGAGACGGTGTGCGTGTCCGCTCGAATATCGCGGTGTCGGTCGGCAACGGCATACACGGCTTTAGAGTATGCTGCATGAGCGGGCCATCAGCATCACGACGAGGTGTCTTGGTGTGTGCAGCTCTTGCCTCTTGATTATATTTTTCTTCTATCTACGAGCGATCAGGAAAACAACACAGTCAAGTTGCGCAACACGTGTGTGCGATCAGAGTGAAACGGATCTCATCCCCTATTCCTGGCGCGCCCTGCGCAGAGGCCCTGCGCGCCCTGTGCAGCACGTCGTGGCATCATTGTCTCCTCGAGCCTCCTGCCG